TTTAAAAAAAAAAAAAAAAAGAATGTATCTTGTCCAAAATTTTGTGTTTAATTTTTAGTTAGTTAAGGGACTTGATCTCTGCTTCATCTTAATCAGTAATCATTTGTGACATCTGTTTTCTGTCTGTTGCACTACAGTCTCTCTGTTGCTGTAATGTTTACCTTTGGTCTCAACAAACCCAAACTGTCATTCCAAAATATACCACCATTTCTTCCAGCACTTTATGTTATGGGATACCAGTTTTTGAAAAGGCTTCTAGAATCAATTAATATATATGTATGTGCCAGTATTATACTTGTATATTAAAAAAGAAACCGGAAGTTAGGAATTTACTTTGAAAAGCACTGTGTTATTTTGGAGAGCAGAAAGAACTTTGTTGGAGAAATATAACAGACTTTTCTTTTTCTTCTGTGTCTTTGCATTGTACTCACCTGGGGAACTTTACACATTTAAGTTTTTCTCAAATGATTTTTATTACATTTATATGTCCATGAAGGATTTAGGGCCTGTAGTATTTTATTATGGCATCTTGCTTATGTGGTTTGTATAGTATAGATTATTCATAAAGTATGTTTATCTAAATTTAGTAAGTTCAATAATTTGTTTTTATTTCTTTCAGCTATGTGTTCTTATTTTCCCAAAAACCTTTGGCCAGAGCAAGACATAAAAGATTCTTTTCAACAAGTGATACTGAGAAGATATGGAAAATGTGGACCTGAGAATTTACAGTTAAGAAAAGGCTCTGCAAGTGTGGATGAGTGTAAGGTGCACAAAGAAGGTTATAATGAACTAAACCAGCGTTTGACAGCTACCCAGAGTGAAATAATTCGATGTGATAAATTTGTAAAAGTCTTTCATAAATTTCTAAATTCAAATAGACATAAGACAAGACATACTAGAAAAAAACCTTTCAAATGTAAAAAATGTGATAAATCATTTTGCATGCTTTTACACCTAAGTCAACATAAAAGAGTTCATACTGGGGAGAATTTGTACCAATGTGAAGAATGTGGCAAAGCCTTTAAGTGGTTCTCAACCTTTGCTAGACACAAGATAATTCATACTGGAGAGAAACCCTTCAAATGTGAAGAATGTGGCAAAGCTTTTAAGCAGTCTTCGACCCTTACCACACATAAGATAATTCATACTGGAGAAAAACCCTTCAAATGTGAAGAATGTGGCAAAGCTTTTAAGCACCCCTCAACCCTTAGTACACATAGGATGATTCATACTGGAGAGAAACGCTACAGATGTCAAGAATGTGGCAAAGCCTTCAGCCGGTCCTCACAGCTTACTACACATAAGAGAATTCATACTGGAGAGAAACCCTACAAATGTGAAGAATGTGGCAAAGCTTTTAACCGATTTTCATACCTTACAAAACATAAGATAATTCATACTGGAGAGAAATCTTATAAATGTGAAGAATGTGGCAAAGGCTTTAACTGGTCCTCCACCCTCACTAAACATAAAAGAATTCATACTGGAGAGAAACCCTACAAATGTGAAGAATGTGGCAAAGCCTTTAGTGTGTCTTCAAACCTTACTACACATAAGATGACTCATACTGGGGAGAAACCCTACAAATGTGAGGAATGTGGCAAAGGCTTTAGTTGGTCCTCAACCCTGACTAAACATAAGATCATTCACACTGGAGTGAAGCCTTACAAATGTGAAGAATGTGGCAAAGCTTTTAACCAGTCCTCAAACCTTACTACACATAAGATAATTCATACTGGAGAGAAATCTTACAAATGT